CAGCAACTATCACTGAGGACACTAAAGTCTGGTCCTCTATAGTTTTTCCTGGAAACGTGGTTTTAGAAACTTCTTTAATCTCTACAAATAAACATTTAAATTGGACTAGATTTAAGTAAATACATAAAATAAATGCTGATTTTATTTGTGTGCCTTAGACTTTGCGGGCAACAATTACTATAATTGAACAGTGAAATAATACAATTCTTTAAAATCAAAATAATTAATAGTCTGACACTTGTACTGCCACGGTCTTGACCTGAAGCCTATTTTACCTTTGGGTTAAGGGTCTGCCAGATATCAGCAATGATTTGCTGAGTCTTGACATAACTCACTGGTAACTCCTTGATGTAAACACCAATCCGCTCTCCCAGCCCGACTACCTCCAAACCCTACAATTAAAAGATCAGCCAATTTAAGCAGGCTATTAAACTTCACAATGGCCTTTTAAACACCAACACCTAACGCTAAAATTAAAACAAACACTACCTGGGCTGCTTTCCAGCTCGTGTTCACCAAGAACTGTCTGAAGGGTCCAAACCCTTAGAAGATAGGTTTAAAATCGCACCTTAAAAATTAAAGGGCGTTTGAAGAGCTCGTGTATTCATGAGCAATCATCACGTTACCTGTAATGGCCACAATTTCGCTTCGATTCATGACGCACTCAAGTTTGCTCGGTTGGAAAGAGAGTTGTGTGCACGTCATGTTTGGACCGTGAAAGACAAGTAGTATCTTCTGTTTTCTTACAACTGACTAACTTTTCCGCGTGGGGGAGCTATTCCCCTGCAAATGTTGAAATGATGCCTTCAAGTAGCTCCGGTAAGGTCCGACATCCGATTGACAAAGTCGATAGTCATCACGTTTTGCTTGCATTTGCTACATTGTTTTTAAACCCTCATTGGGCCTATTACAATTAGCTGCTGAAAAATTACTTATGTGGCCATAAACAGAGGACACAGAGGAAAAACAACATGGCATTTCACAAAAAAAGCCGCAATTACAGGCCTACAGCAAATCATTTAGAGCCATTTTCTTTCCATTTTAAAGATAGGCTATACTCCATTGCGCAGTCAGTGCGCCCAGGGCTTTAAATTGTTTCTCTGCACGACGTATTCTCAACATCTAGGTGGCGCTTTTTAGTCTGACCGTTTGTGTGGGTGACTACGGTGAGCTCAGATTGTTACTTTCAGACGGTACATAAATGCAACACCACATCTGCCAGGGACACGGACGCATATGGGACGATTCTGTGAGGCAGGACCCGCCCTTCTCCTGCTGCACTTGTCAAAGGCAACTGATCGCAAATTGCACAGTTGCGCCCATAGACGCACACGCAAATGATAGTGAGGCAACCTGTCTCTAAAATTAATATAAAGGCCGGACAAATTTTTAACTGTATTTTAACAAATTCATGCCACAATGTTGCCTTTCAAGAGAACTTTTGAGAGCGATAAACAGCAGCTGCAAGAGCTCAACAGCAGACTTGCCCAGTATCTATGCAGAACGAAGCAGCTGGAGCAGGAAAATGCGCATCTGATTACTGAAATAAATAAACTCAGAGACACGAAGACTGTGGCATGGGAACCGAAGTACAAGACTGAGATGCGAGATCTGAGGAGAATGGTGGAACAGCTGTCGTTTGAGAAGTCCAAGGCTGAGATGGAGAGAGAGAAGCTATGGCGAGAGTTGCAGATGGTCCAGTCTGTCTGCAGCGAGCAGACTGAGGTGTGCAGAGACATCAGTGGCGACCTCAAAGGCTGCGAAGAGGAGCTTCATCACGCTTACAAGACCAACACTGAACTCCAACAGCGTTTAGTTCAACTAAAGAACGAATATGCATGCTTAGAGGATGCGCACAGGCAAGAAGTGGACCATCTCCGACGTCAGGTGGAGTCCCGGGTGGTACCAATCATCACACAAACTTATCGCGGGCCTGCGGCGGCCTCCATGGAAGAAGTCCAGGCGTATGCCCGCGGTATGTCCGAGGGATGGATTGAGACATTTGAAATGTACCAGCAGAAGGTGGATGAGATGGAGCAAACGATTAAAGCAGACCGAGCGAGATTGAGTGATCTGCAGAGGGAAAAGATGCTGTACGCTACAGAGTTGGACAAATTACGCACAGAGGCGGAAAAACAAGGCCAAATTCAATTGCGTCTTGAGGAAGAACTGGCACAAATGCAGGAAAAATTGCATGTGGACATAAGTGAATATCAGGTG